CCCAAACTCCTACTTTATGGATGTAAAATGTCCAGGTAAATATTTAAAATGTCTGTATCTTACAGAAGGAAAGAAACTCATTTTGTATGTGGTTCATCTTCATATGAAGATGAAGGTCTGTTTTTTTTTTTTTAAAAAAATCTAAATGTGGTTTATCGGTTCAGTAGAGGAAAAAAAAGTCTGTATATTGCTTTGGGTTTTTTTAACAATAAAAGTGTTTTCAGCCTTTTTCAAAAGTTAATTTGAACAATCAGCTTTTTATTTTCTTTTCTGGAAGTCTGGCATGAGGGGGTTCTTTCGTTGTTGGTGCTTTTTTTTCCTTCATGAAATCCTGGCAAGTATGGAAAAAACCAAACCCCCAGATGTGCATGTATAAGAAGTGAGATGAAAGGGATGCTTTAAGACATCCATGGCACGAGCTTCGAGTACAAGACAACATTGTTTTCCTTCTTTTGTGAGTGTTGATTCTGGAAGAGCGACCAGAAGAACTTTCACAAGGATCTATGCAGGCATACTGGAACTTTACGTAGAAAGTAAAACATATACAGCTGCCCTTTTCACCTGTGGCCGTTAAGAAGTAAGCTGATATCTAGCTCAGGTATACAGGGGTTATATTTAAGGTGTTGCCTGGGTCTGCTTTTCACAGATTTTCATTACTTTGGCTCAGAAACATCTGTATAACCAACTCCCTTTTGTAAACTAAAACATGGGATTTTCTAGCACAACTATAGGAGTATGCGCTACCAGTGCAAAACTTCTTTGATCCAGCACAGCTACATCCGTCTCGAGGCACAGAAGTTGTCAAGTGTGGTAACTTAACCTCCTAGAAACTACCACAGTGTAAGATTATAGCAGTAAAAAAGGGTATAGACTCAGAATAGTGATCATCCTGACTAAAAGCAGGGAATTGCTGCTGTGTTCAGGTTTGCTTATTATCTTACTCTTTCTTAGTAGTTTAGATTTCTAAGAAGCTCTGAGACACCGTTCTCCATCTAAAAGTGAGGTAAATTCATTAAAACTGTTTGAAAGTGAAGTGTGGTTACTTTTAAAAAATACATGGTTGAAGGCTAAGCCACTGTTTGGGTTTTTTTTTAAATTTTCTTCAAACCTGTGTACACGCATATACTAAAATGTTAACATAGGTCATTGGTTATCTTCATTATTGTTGGATTAATTGGTTATTGAGTTTGAGGGATACTTAGAGCAAAGCCGGAGAGCTTCAATAATGACAGAGTCTTTAGCACAAGGCACTGAAAATACCAGATGGCCTTATGCACTATTCCATGTTGTTGGCAGTTGCTACCTAGTTACTGAAATGGATTGGGCTCCTTTCCCTGCAAAATCCACAAAGTTAAAAACTCTTCAACACGGAAATTCACATTCATGGGGGGAAACCAACATGTGCTGTGGCTAAATTTTAGCTGGTAGGAGATTTTTGCAAACAAAGGTTTGTGCAGTTACTATTTGTGATTTAAACAAAGCAGCAGTCTATTATCCTGTCTGGTAGGAGGTTCTCTCTACCAACCAGTCCTCTTGTCAGAGAGCTTTCTGAGGACCTTCCTCACAACATATATTCTATCTTATCTTTCTGGTCCATACATGCTAAAAATAGAATCTATGCTCACCTTTACCTATTTGTCTATTCTCTATATCCACATCTGGATTAAATCCTTTACGAGTTTTCTCTCTCAAAAAATTCCTCTTGGCTAATTAAAAATACTTTTCAGGGAAAAAGAATGAAAGCAGTGAAAAATCCCTTTGTCTAAGCCATGTATGAGACTGATTTAATTCTTTGTTAAGTCATAGAATTCAGAAGTTGTAGACAAAGTGTTGCTGATGCCTCTTCTTGGATCTGGAATTAGTGAAGTTATTCTGTGCAAGTCTTCTCATTTGAATTTGATGCTAGCTTTGTAGAACGCAACCAAGCACATACCTTATGTGTACCAATTATTAAACAGAAAGTAAACACAGATTTGAACAGCAGTGTTTATATTCACAGCTGCCAGACTTTGTCAACAGCAATGTTCTACTATTACAAGTTAAATATTTCTCTAGCTAGATAGGTTCTTCTGTTCAGCGGTGAAGGCTTGTCTAGAACTCCTTGACTTTTTTGCAGGAGACATACTACAGGGCTTGTCAGCCATTGGGCTGTATGTTGATTTTCATATAGGGAGTCATAACAGCTTCAGTTAACTAACTTGCTTTCATATGCATGTTAGTAAAAGCAAGTACTTCAGACCACAATAACAATATTTTGCTTTGTTTTACTTGGTATGCTGTGTAATGAAATACAGATCCGTTTTTGGACAATTGTATTTAGAGTATCTGATTCAATTACACATACCATAAAAAAGAGTCATGTTAGAAATACTCAATGGAAAGTTTAATAATGCTGTTTTCCAGGATGCTACAAGATCACCACTGTATTCAGCCATGCTCAGACAGTAGTTCTGTGTGTAGGGTGCTCAACCGTCCTGTGTCAGCCTACTGGGGGGAAAGCCAGGCTCACAGAAGGTAAGGGGCAATGTTTAGTAGCCTAAACATTCTACTTACATAAATGCATTTAGGTATTTATAGCCTGCAAATATTTTAGCTTTGATTTTGAAAACTGATACTGGAACGTTTATTTTGCAAATTGCTTAGAGTGGGCTAGTAACAACATTGTTAATGGGCCCCAAGTTACAAATTTTTCTTCAGATTCTTGTTTTTAAATGGCTATATAGATACGCCAGGCAGCTACATTGTGATCAAGCACACTTGATTTTAGGTGCTTTGACTTGCTGTTTCCTATAGCCTATCTGTAGTAAATACTGCCTGTTTAGTACGGAACTAAGTTTAGACTGTTAAAAAAGGATTTTTAGGATTAAAAATTAAAGGATTAGGGTACTTTTGCCAGGCTAACGTGATTCTGTGCTGCTGCTAGTCAGTGGTGGCTTGCCTGTTTGTTTTTAAATGGTGGTACTGTAAAGTAGTTTCCTGGCTCATGTTACTTAATCAAAATTTTGTATAAATTGTAAGGGAACAAATAACCACTGATAATTAGAAATAGGTAACTGGTATAGCAGCAGTATCTTGAAATGCAACCCAATGTCTGGGGTGTATGAAAAACACTGGAAACACTTCAGGGTTTAAAAAAATATTTAAGAATAAACCCAGATTTTATTCAGGTTTTGTTTAAAGGACAAAAGGTAAATATGCAAATTACATATAGTAGGTGCTTATACCATGTGCTACTATACGAACGTAGTTTATATGCGGACAGAATACCTGAAGTAAGGCTGTTGAGCAGTTGAAAAGGTATCAACACTCCTAGCAGCTGCTTCAGTTTGGGGTTTGTATCACTAAGGGATGGAACAGTAGGCTGAAATTTTAAAAGGCACCTGGAAGAAGAGAAATAGCTCACCTTAGCCATATTTTAAGATTAATTACGACAGCCATGTTGTTCTGGTTGAGTTAGAGAAGACTCAAAGTGCTAAATCTTCACCTCTTGTGGTACATGAAGTTTAAATTTATTGCACAAGTTTTCCTGCTGAAATTTTCCAAGGCAGTGCAACCATTTAAGGGCTATTCATATCTATACTCATGTGATTTCTTTACAGGCTGTTCATTTAGAAGAAAGCAACACTGAACACTTCAGGATGTGGTTTTGGATCTGTGTTCCTGAAAGCCTTACTGGTTTAAAAATGTCTGTTAATACAACAATGTAATTACAATTGATTTTGTAAAAATTATATGCTACTGGCGACTAATGAGCTGGAATCTCTTTTTCAATAAATGAAGCGCAAGTTTTTCCTGCAAGTTTGCAGACAACTGAGCTCTATTTTTATAATTTTACTTTTAAACAGTGTATTGTTAATTGGGTGTTGGCATTTAATGTAAAATGCATATGGTGAAAGAAACTACTGTAAGAATGTGTTTTGTATACTTTATTACTGCAGCTACCCTAACGGCAAGGGTTGCAAAGGCTACATAGATTTGAAATGGCTCATTTGCTTTCAGCATTGCTTTAGTCCCTTTACCATGTTCAATAACATGGTGATAAATAAAAATATAAAGTTACTCATACTCAGCTATTTTTCTGGAATGCATGTTTTTTCCCTCCCTGTAATCTGGTCTCGACACTGCATTTGGTGTTCTGTACTGAGATTTCTATACAAAAAAAAAAAAACCAAAAAAAAAGAGTCTTGCAAAGCTTCAATATAGAGAACGCATATGGTATATAAGCAACCATAAGTCAGCAAACTACACTAACAGCTGTGAATGGTATCCAGTTACTTAAAAAAAACCCCATAGTACAGGAAAACCTTGCATATTTTCAGTATTAGATACTGACATTAAATAATTACCTTTTTGCAAGGAGGAAGCAGGTTTTTAGTTAGTTTTAAAAGCCATCCCTTTCTAAATGGCTGTTGAAAGTGGACCTTTTTATAAAAAAAAAAAAAAAAGAAAACATTCAAACAAAGTCTTACATGTATCTTATTTTACTATGTAGTATCTCAAGTTATGTATCAAAATCTCTTTCAAAGTATCAGGTGAGCTAATTATTGTTGGGAATTTCTATTTAACCTGTATTCATTTTATGACTTTTAAAACATGTACATTTCTAGTCAATAAAAAAAACCCCAAAACCTGATATTACAATTTGTTGCATTTGCAAAATAAGTTTTATTTCAGTTAATTCAAACAGTGAACACTTATAATTACCAGATACAAAAAGTAGGTGTTTGATACAGAAACAGATGCACCGATTTAGTATACATGCCTTTTAAGAAAAGTACGGTTTTATTTCAGTGCCATACTGTGTTTTCTCAGTAAAGGTTAATTTAAGAACAAGTTTATCGTGAAAGCTGCTCTTAATTGACCAGTTTCACACACTTAATGTCAGTCCATCAAATAACTGGTTTCAGAACAAAGATCAAAGTAGCAATATTAATTCACTTGTGACCTGAAAACGTGTGCTAAGGCCAGATGGATTTCTAGTCTCCCATATCTCTGCCTTCTCTTCCTCTACCCTAAAAGATAAGAACTCATGAGTAAGTAAATACCAAATCAGAGGAAGTCGTAACCCATTTTGTTCCAGGTACTGGAAGATGAGATTTAGACATCATAGCATCTCCAATACTGTACATGTGACAACAGAGGTTTTTTTAAAAGCCTTAAGTTACAGGAGATAGATACAGTATACAGAACATGGTATGCATATAAAAAGTTGGTGACTAAACATATTCTATGAGGGGAGTGAGACTGTCATTACTATATCTTGGTGCTAGAAATGCCTTAGATACTTCTTATCATTATTCACTTTCATACATACTTCAAATATTTACATTTATTAGCATTTGGTCATATGCAGGCAAGCATAATGCTAAACCTACACTTGTACATTCTGAATCTTTGTCGAAGCCCAAAACACAATGGTCAGTGAATGAAACTTGCTTTCTCTCAAATATGCAGAATGGTTTTCAAGAACAATAAATACCATTTGCAAAACAGATGCATCACAAAAGTATGTTGTGTGATTTTTTTTTTCAGATTTGCTATATTTAACACATTGTATTTGGTCTGTTTCTATTCATGTATTCTTGAACATGAAAACAACTCTGAACTACTTACTTTTGTTCCCTGTGTGAAATGGGCAGTGACTTCCTGCTGCATGTTTACCCAGCTAGCAGGTGCTCAAGACTGGAAAAAAGAAGTGTTGCTATTGTAGGAGATGCTCACCCCCAGTACTTCTGTATTGGAACTGTCAAACAATATCAAGGCTTCAGTGGAAGAGTAGATAATTTATTGCCTGACCAAATGAAAGTTTGTTCAGAAACTGTCTCAACTGAGCTGATATTCTTGAGATAAAGACAACCCATTATTAATGAATTAAAAAAGTGAAGTTTTGGTAAATGGGTCAGAAAACCCAAGCAAATAGTTTAGGTGTAAACTTTTATCATTTTAAGGCACAAGAATGATTATAATTATGAAGAGTACTAAACCAGCCCTACTAGCTTCAATTAAAAATGTAGGTAAAACACCGACACCTCAAAATATTAAATTCCCTGGTTTGTCAGTCTAAGGTAATAATGTTATCATAGGCATACTGGGAACAGAGATGACAGCGGTGTTGTTTCATCACAGGGCAGGTAACAACTATGAAGTTAATACCAAAAGTACTAACTTGGGAAAAAGGCAGGTAAGGCTATCTTCTGCTAGCTGTTACCTAAGACATCTTGTACCTTAAATTCAGAGAAGCAGAGCTGTTAAACAGTGCAGGGATGTAAGTATTCAAACCCTTCCTGAAGGACATTTTGTTTTGTCTCAGCCTGGAAATAGGCTGATATAACTGCAGGGAAAGTGGGGTGGGGGTAAATCTTGGAGATCATGGAGATCTTCCACATTTCTTATAGAATATGTAAAATTAACATTCAGGTGTTATTGTATTCCTACGTGAAGATTAGAAAATGCTTCTTTGGAACTCTATCACAATTTCTTGTTCAGCCTTGTGCAAAAGTAACTCCTTAAGGCAGGTCTCCAAATGGAAAAAGGAGGGCTTTAAAAAAAAAACCTCTCAAAAGTCTGTGAGACTTCTACTACTGGCTTCAAGAATGGGCTTTAAATTTTATTGAGTTATTTGAGTTCCTAATTCCTATATCTAAAGGAATATCTACATTACAGAATAGAGTGCTATTTCTGGCTACCGAAGTTAGCATGTGTATCATTCAAAAACAATGAGACAGTTTGATAGCTCACCAGGCTCTGCTATTCAGGCATATTCGACTGTGGAAATAATACCCTTATTTCACAGTAAACTAGTTTCACACGTTCTCTGTGTCCAATAAGAATGGAAGAGAGGACATCTAAATAACAAAAAGATTTTTTACTTAACATTACTCTAGCTTCATTCTTTTCTAATTCCTAACAATCCACAGCTCTGACAAAAGCATACTTCTGGTATAAACCTGCATTCCGGAGGTAGCTTCAAGATTTGGGTTTTGCTGGATTTTTTTGCTTTTTAAGCAAATAAGAAAAGCACTATGTCAAAAGATAAAAATCAACAGTAAAACCATTTTTCTTTAAAAAGTAATACTGAACAGTTTTGGCAGACTGGAACTGCGAGAATAACAAGCTATGCCTTTGTGTGCTCAAATCAAGATGCGAAATTTTTCAAAAGTTTAACATTTAAGGTAGATAATTTGTTGTTGTACTTCTCAGTTCAAGAAACCAATGCTAGGGTTTTTTTTAATCTTGGTCAAGTGCTTGACTGGATGAGAAAAAAACCTGCTAATACAATGATAATTTACACAGGTACTACAGGAAGTCAAATCTGACTGTTACATTCTCCTTTCCTGTAACTTAGGAACTTCCCTGAGAGATGAATTCCAGTTACACATAAGTTTAGCACCACTAGCAGAAGTTAATTAAGTGAATTTTTGATGCTTTTTCTTTTAGTGATCTCGGAGTTCAATTACCCCCTTCTCCGTGTTTTTCACGTTTCAGTACAGTGAGTTCAGTTACACGTATCTCTTTTTTTAATCTATATATCGTGCCCATTTTTCTTTATCAAATTCCCTTGCAATCTTTAAGGCAGTGCTGTTGAGTGAAACTGATTGCATATTACAGATAATACTAACAATTACTCCTCTAGGTGGTGCCACTAGCCCAGTATCTATAGCTTCAGAGTCCAGCTCTTCAGGAAGAATTAGGAGGACACTACTTGCCCCCACTGCACCACCTGTATGAGATGCATAGTGTCTCTGCTGTCTGCAACAGCCATATTGTTGTTTTTTCTCTACTACAGCCCAAGCCATTGCATATTTACCATCCCTGTCCCATGATACTTCAGTTTTTGGCACTGGGGTCCACATCATTGCGACTGTGTCTGGTTTGAGGTACCCAGGAAGAAGTTTGCCATTAGTGTTTTTAAATTCTCCAGCTTGATAACTGTATAACAAGGCGTTTCCAAATTTCAGAAGGTCACCTACTGACGACAGAAAGCCACCACCAGCCCACTTGTAAGAGTTGTCCACATATGGTGCATTTACCAGCCGTCCCTTTTTGTTGTAAACATAACACCTAGAATTCAAGAAGATTCAACTTGTCATTCTCAGATACTATGCACATCTATTTTAAGCTGCCCTACCTTAAAAGAGCAAACTGAGCATGCATTAGCTTGTTCTCATGCAACGTTAGAATTTTTAAAAAATGTTTCTCTTAAACACATTTCCTGTAGAAACATCAACAAGAAATTCAGACAGGAAAACAAAAATTAAGGTGACTTCTTAGGTTAGAAGCTTAGTTTCAATAAAAGTACTAATCCTTCTATTTACTCTTAGAATATACTAAGAGTAAAGGCAATATACAAGTAAGAGATGTGACAGAAATCTGTTTTTTCTTAAATCCCTGTACTAGATTTAAAGTGTTTTAAGAAAGAGGAATCCTACGACTACCCCATGATTAACAGACACTGAGCTGAAATTTCACTGAAGTCTTAGGTGACTGCTCCAGGACAGTAGTTTCCATTTATGATTGATTTCCCCCCACTGCCCCATTACAGTTGCCATATACTACAACAACGAAATATTCTGGAACTACTAAGAAAAGTGAGAAGAGTCTTGCAAAACCTGTCATTAAAATTAGAAACTACCAACCAGAATTGCAGAATGAACTATCAGGAACAACACAACAGGAATGCAGACTGAATTATGCTTTTGAAAGAAACAGTCCAGTCACAACTGGATTAATTTCATACAACATATGAAAAGGAACGTTGAATAACTATATAATCTGATGAATTTCAACCTTTGGCCTTCAGACCACAAGAGGTCCGTGTACTACTTGGAGGGCTGTGAAAAAGAGCCACGCAGAAAAAGAAAAAAACGGGGGCAGAGGTGGCAGGGCAAGCTTACTATCAAACAGCACAGAGATACATTCCCTACCTAGTCTGCACTTGGAAAACTTTCAGGGAACTTCTGAAAGCCGTAATACTGAAAATCAGAGGTTGTAGCAAAGGAAGAGAGATGAATGGTCCAAGACTACCATCAACTCTGCCAGTGACTTGATTATCTCAGCGTCCCTATAGTCAGTTTTTCGATCACAATAAAACCTGTTACAAAGACACTGAAATACTTGACTTACACCTCTGTAAGATCTAGAACATGATTTTTTAAAACATTTTCATGTCAGTGAGATATAGTATAACCAAGCCATTAAACAAACCATAACATGCCAATATGTTCTAGTCTGAAGCACCAAGCTAGCTATTTGTGGAAGCAAAAGCATCACATTAGCATCTCAGTTTTGCTTAACAATAAGTAGCCCATAAAGAGACCCCCAAAACAGCATCTGTCCCAATTCTTTCATCCCTACCATATTTCAGTTTATAAAAGCTTTAATATACACATATATTTAAAAGAACTTGATTGTACAAGCTTGATAATTTATGAGAACATCACTAGCATCCAGATCTACTTATATGTACTATAAACCTTGAATTCAACATGTTCCTCACCATTTTCGTTCTTTGAGAGCATTTTAGAAGACAAGCGTTTAAGAAGTTTGAGTCACATTTTCATTAGACTTTTTCCATAACCTGGTTTTGTGATTCAGTTAGAATTCTTCTTCTGCACCAAAATTTAACAGGTGAGTCAATAAATCAATTTCAGCGGCCAGACAGGTAAGTCAATAAAATAAGACTGGAGAGAAAGACAAGAAACTCTACCCTTACCCACAATATTGGAATGGATTATCCAGTTACATAAATTTCTCTGGGGAGTTTCGGGGTTTCGGTTTTTTTGTTTGTTTTTTTTTTTAAAGTTAATATAAAGAAATCAATTGGTAAAGCATGTTCTGTGTTAAACAAAATTTTAATTCTGGTTAAAATTGATACTACAACATAATTTATGAAACCCTTGTGTTACTGTGAGACTATTACAATTCCACGGAACTCTTAAAAAGTCGTATACTAAGCAAACCAAGGTAACAATATATTCTAACATAATCTCCTAGTTACTCCTTTATTTTACTCTATTTACACTTACCTGCTTATGTGTACCCAAAGTCACCCATGTCACTCTCTCCCCCCATACATACTCTTATAACAGGAAATACTTATTTCCTATTCTGCAATTTTACATGCTAATTACAGAACAACCACAATAATGCTGACATGAAATCAGTCACGTGACTAACTTTGAAATAACATAAGCTATTTCATTTAAAAGCCTGGGAAAAAAAATTCACACATTCTTAATTCAGTTGGCTTAATAAAGATAGAAATAGCAACAATTGTTGGAGGGGGGGGGGAAGTTTACCTTGCTCTGTTATATATCATTGCTTCATTGTCATCTAGTACAGTTGACAGCATATCCAAATCATGAAACATTTTTAGCATATAATCTGTAAATTTTTGTCCTGAAACTCTCTCCACAACAGCGCTTAAGAGAGTAAAGCCATACGTTGAATACAAGAACTGACTACCTTGAAGAAACACAATGAGAAAGGGGGGGGGGGGGGAAGTTAGCTGCATGATGCCTAAATGGAATCTGAAGGATAAAATTAAAGTAATCACATGTGCAAACAAAACTATATATAGCAATGAATAATCAATTAAAAGACCCCTCCACCCCCCTTTTAACATGATGTGAATCACAAGCTTATGATACTAGGTCCTAGGAATTTCTGTACTGCAGCAGACACAGATGCTTGCTAAGTGCAGGTAGCTGCGAGAACAGTGCTAAAAAATTTTCAGGGATCTGCATGTACAGCCAGGTTTCATGCCAAGATGTGAAGACTGACATTTAACATACTTTCCACAAGATTTACCATACCAGTTCTAACAAGGACGTCTGGATTTGGAAAGCTGAAGGAAATCATAAAATTACTTCTTAAAAGACGCTCACCTACTGTGACTTGTTTGTGTGTCTATACCCTAGACATGGAAAGACAAAGCTAGTACTTGCTCAAGGTTTTCAAAGCTCTTGATCACTTTTATCATTGTGTTTCTAGTTCCAGAATATCCTGAAAAATTGTATAAACACTAACATGCATATTATTTAAGACAATACAATTTATTTACAAAACAGTGTTTCATTTTTTCAAATCTCATTCTTGCACTAGCACCTTTTATGAAACATCTACGTATCAAGCAACCGCCAAACTGCCTACAGTTGAGACACATCTCTTACTTTAAATAGTTCCTAGAACCCTCCAAGATGGTAAGTGGTTAACTTCTCCCCCTTCCTACCTCTCTCCCCTTAAATGCGCATTTATTTACTGTTTACCGGCAATGTGTATCATTTGCCTGTTAACCCATTTAGAACTTGTATCTGAATTTCCTCAAAGTCCTCTCTAGAATTAACTTAAATGATTCCAACAACAAATAACCTTAACAATTCTGTGTTTCTGGTCCTTCTGTAGATTTTTTTAGCTCTGGTTTAGTGCTTCACTAAAATTTTTGCTTTTGGTTCATATCTAGAAGGCCCAGAGCATGAATACAGCAAGTTGGTATCCACCTACAAAATACTTTGTAGACACAAATTTGTTACCAAAATTAGACTCTTTAGCATTTATAAATTCTGTAACTGGTACATTTCATAGCACTTACTGCATTACTTAGAGCTCCTGGGAGAAAAGTCTTATTTCTACCTGAGGTCCCACTTTCTCTTCTCCCCTGCATTATCTGGGACTCTTTGTATTACCTTTTAAGTCTTGGCTACATCACATTTTGAACCTCCTGGATTATGGTGCAGGTACACCATTAGAAGATATCTATGTAAGCATAATTTTTTAAGTCAGTAGATGGGTAAAAATAGCTATACAAGACTTATCTAAAATTGAACTGATAAAATCCTGATCAGTTCAGTCTTCAAAAGTTACATCAGTTTTACAACATGTTAGATGTTGTAACGTCATAGTTCAAAAGTTACACGACCAGATGGGTTGTGCAGAACAGCTCAAATACTTCTCCGTTAAACTGTTAATGGGGCACAAGAAGAAGAAAAAAAACAACAACCCCACATACACATACCAAATGGGGCAGGAGGAGAGCAGAACAAAACAAAAACACCACACAAAGACTCTTCAACTGGACTCTACTATCCTCACTGCATGTAAAACAATTTGAAACAAAAATTTCACCAGAAGAGCACATTTTGGTCTAAATGAATAGAAACTCACCTGGTTTAAAGAATAAAGGATCATTTTTAAATAGCTTCAGTGATTCAATTACACTTTCAAATTTTTCCTTCAAATAATACTCTTCTTGCTCAAATTCTTTGTCTCTCCTGCCAGGGTTTGAATTTCGGCTTTTTACCTCACCTTCGTGTTCTTTCCTCCGTTTGACAGAATCAGTCTTTTCAACCCCTTTGCCTTCATTTTCTTTTTGTTCTTTATCCTGATAGGGTTTTGTATGTTTAAATGCTCTGTTTGCCTTTTCCTTTTCTTCCTTTACTTTCGTAATATCTTTTTCATAGTGACGAATCCCACTCAAGTGTGAAACTAACAGTCTTGTAGTAATAGCGACCTAGGTAGAAAGGACAGTATTTAAATGTGAGCTCTCTTAATTAAAGATATGACGCACACTAAATCACCAGAAAAGTAAAATTCAACATGACGAGGAACAGACAAAGATATAAGACCTTTTACGTATCATCTATTAAACGCAGTTAAGATATATACATATATATGCACACACTACACACTTGATATGAAAGTGAAGATCCAAATTTCCAGCATTGCTTTTTCAAGCAGCAAACATCAGTACTTGTCTAAATGATCTTCAGTGTTTTACAGGAATAGGTCCAGATACAGGCACCTGTACACAAATGGCTGTGCAATGGCAGGAATGGAAATAAAAAAAAAGCGTTACCAATAAACAATTACATACCTTTTCACCCTCGTAGACTTTTTCTGGAAATTCGGGGACATATTTCTGCACTGGAGCATCTAAATCCAGTTTCCCCTCTTCCCACAATTTAGCAACAGCCATCATTGTAAGACACTTGCTAATGCTAGCAATTCGCATGATGGTCTCTGGCTTACATAGTACACGATTCTCTACATCAGCATAACCCAAACCTTTAAGAAAATAAAAACACTGTGGTAAATACTTTACACAGAGACACGATGAATTAATTATTTGCAATGAACTAGACTTACTGGCTCTTTAAAATGTTTTTCCTCTAGCTAAACTGGGACATGAAGCATTGGGCTACCCCTGTTCCTGCTTTGATTAAGTTAATAGCATTTTAATGTAGCAGGAACAGTTAATCAAAACCCATTGTAATGGCATCCCAAGTTACTGATTAAGACTACAAAACAAACCTAATGATGAGATTGAAGACTAAGCCAAAATTTACACTCCTGAGGTCAAATATTCAATGTAGAAAAACTAGAGACCAAAATCTAGACTGTAAAATAACTGACCAACAGTCATAAATACTCCTTTTATTGTTCTGAATTAATGGTTGAAACCATAAAGGGTCTTATTTTATCAATAAAGAAATTGAGACAGGAAATAATTCACAAACTCATAGCAATTACCTAAGCTGTAAAGCTTCACAAAACAGTTATGTTTCAACATCACTCAGCATGACATCAGTTAAAGGACAGCTTAATAGTCTCCATACCAGTGTTTTCCTATGTAACTAACCCACAAGTCTGGTAGCAAGAACTGGAATTAATAAGGCATTATCAAGCTCCCATACTAGTCTTCAGTTTGAGCTAGGTTTGAAGAAACTGTGCAAGTGATGTTGCAGCATAAAAAGCAATGAAATGCAGTAATGACATATTTGCAGTTTTCAGTACAAGAAAGGCCTGCAAGCAATGCATGTCTGTTTATATAAAACTGTAGTCTAATAATTAACTACTCGGAGGAAAAACCCCTTGCCAAAATACAAGAAGTGAAACAGATGGCATGTCAGATGCCCAAGACCCTTTCTTTTATGTAAAGTTGCTACTCAAGTGCTTGCATGGTGCTTGTGAATGCAGATGCTGTACCCCTCAGTGAAAATACCTTCCAAATCTTAAATCACTCCCATCAGTTTAGCAAGCAGGTTTAATAGTGTGGTCACGGAATGCATGCAGCTTACACGTGTTCCTATTTTCCCCCTCACCATGAAGAAGGGAGGAGGACAACAAAATGAGCTAGAAGTCTGCTAGAGCAATGTTAACCCACCTCCCAACTGCCTTACTCAAGGCAGTCCTGTTCTCTATATCCATATGCAGCAGGGTACAGAAAGCTCTGCCATTGCTTATGCTCCCATGTGTAGTTGTCTTGCTACTAGATCTGGCAGTCCTGGTGATAAACCACAACCCTGGCACTAGTTTCCTCAGGCACTTTCCTGCACATCAAGGAAGGGATTCTGCAGAAGTCTTCTAAAAACTTCTGCTTTCATTGCTAAGTAATTTGAGACCAGAAAAAGCTATCTGATTTGAGAGACTTTGTAATTAACTTTCCAGCACAATTTTCTTATTAGGCCACATTACAAAAGGTACCAGAGGCTCTCCAACTCACTTCTGTCATGACGATAGAGAAATGAAAACCTACATAATCAGCTTTATACATATATAAAAGTTAATGCAACAACAGTCAGAAGACAGTAACAATCTTACTTACAAAGATTTTTTTTTCAAATTCTGTAACGCATTAATGAAATATGTTGCCATTTACTACCATTTAAGTTGTCCAAAAACCTCAAAACATATGAAAATGTTTCTGAAAACAGACATGCAGTTTGGTGTTTTTTTTTAAATAAACATCAAATGTCTACATGATATGAGCAGCACTAACAGACTCTATTTAAAACTAAACTGTGTACCCAGAAAAGTCACTTGCAATTTCTGGACGGATGACACCTGTTAAATCTCAGTACCTTCCCAGCAAAAATCTACACCTCAGCCCACAAATGGGAGACAGATCACCAAATGTGAGCCATTACTACTTTGACTGTTAAGTAAGTTCCTGTGGGGAGAACAGTTCCTTCCCTCCTATACACCCGGGTTTTTTTCTGAACACTTCCAGGGATGGTGACTCCACCACCTCTCTGGGCAGCCTCTTCCAATGCTTGACTACTCTTTCCGTGAAGAAATTTTTCCTAACATCCAATCTAAACCTCCCCTGGCGCAGCTTGAGGCCATTTCCTCTCGTCCTATTGCTAGCTACTTGGGAGAAGAGACCAACGCCCACCTCACTACAACCTCCTTTCAGGCAGCTGTAGAGAGCGATAAGGTCTCTCCTCAGCCTCCTCTTCTCCAGGCTAAACAACCCCAGTTCCCTCAGCCGCTCCTCATAAGGCCTGTGCTCCAGACCCTTCACCAGCTTCATTGCCCTTCTCTGAACACGCTCCAGCACCTCAGTGTCTTTCTTATAGAATCATAGAATCGTTTAGGTTGGAAAAGACCTTTAAGATCATCCAGTCCAACCATTAACCTAACATTACCAAGTCCACCACTAAACTAATTAAGGGTAGAGTAGCAATTTCATGTTTCCTGGCTTGGTGGCTGGATTATTTTTTAATGAAAGTAAAAACTAGGAATCATTAAGGTTGGAAAGGATCTCTAAGATCATCAGTCCAACCATCAACCCAGCACCACCATGTCCACTAAACCATGTCCCAAAGTGCCACGTCTACCCGTTTTTTGAACAATTCTACCAGACCACTGTGCGGCTGTATGCCTAGAGTATACATATACTCAAAGACCAATCTGACAAATTAATGGAAGAAAGGTTCTTAAACATAACTGTTGAGATACACTAGCACATTCAGGAAGTTAATATATTATCAGTTCCTGGAAATCACTGAAATTTACCAAGGAAAGTATCACTTCATACTCCCTAGGCACCTGTTCCTGGCCACTGTCCAGAGATGGGACATCAAGTGGACGAAATCTCAGCCTGATCAGCATGTACAAATCGTTCATTTTTAAAACGTTCACCACTTCCCAACAGCGTGCACAACTACTGCTCCCATATACTAACCTTCTGACCAGACTTCCTTTCCATCTACAGAAACTCCAACTAGTATACCTGGGATTCCTGCTTCATCCTGTCAAAAAAATGGACAGGAGACATTAAGAAGGATCTTTACAGTTAAAAACCACATTCTCCCAAACGCTAAAAATGCAAAAGCAATCCCATAAATACACCTGCATGTTGTTGTCACATTACAGTTGAAATTTTGTTAGATACTAGTTGGGCTGAACTGGTATAAACTGCTTTTGAAAAGCAGACATTTCAATCCAGCAACTGGGAAAAATTATCTAACAATAATAATAATCTAAATAAAATAACAGATTTAATAATTTATATTAAATTAGCGATCAGGACATGCAAGAAAAACTGAACAGGAACAGAACATGACAGAGTTAATATGCAACAGGCAAACCGCATCATCTATCAGCGAGCAGAATTTCAAAGGGGCTTCAGTTAGATTTTCAAAGTAACTACAACGCGCTTTTTAAGCGATCCCCTTGCCTCTCTCTTCTCCCTCAAGGCCCCCCCC